CTTGTATAAAAGCAAAAGGAAGTAAAACTTCTGATTTCTCAGCATGCTTTAAGACTGCGGCACCAAGCTGCATCAGCAGTCATTCTGCTTATCATTATCACTCAGAGTTTTGGTTAAAAGCCTGCTTCTCTTAAGGTTGTCCTTGGTGAAGCAGCAAAGACTAATGTTAATAAATCTTGGCCCTTTTTAATACTATGAATAAGTGAAAAGTTCACGTAAAGTATTTCTGCATACTGAAGTATATCTGTGTTCAGGAAAAGCACTTGTGATTTAGCTGTGAACTGAACAGGCTGCTTATCATAGAACACCACTTTAAAGTGAAACTATGCTAAGACTGGTGATGATATAAAAGTGTTTTGGATGTTATAAAGAAATCTGAACCGATATTTTCCAAGCTGACCAATGTATAAATCATGTACTGGTAAAAGAACTATTCTTTGTGCAAGATGGAGCCGTGAGTATTAATGTAACAATTTCACAGACACCATGTAAAATCTCACTGAACCTAATTCAAGAAACTAATGGTTATGGTGTTTAATGTAAAGTAAAAGACTATTCACAATTATCTGAAATTTTGAAAAAACACATGTATGTCCAACTGTGTATCTCCATGATATTAAGTTGTCTTCTTGTTTCTTCAAAAGTAACTGCAAATGAACCATGAAGTATGAGAATCTAATTGTGTTCTATTCAGTCAAATGAAGAGATACACTTAAGTGTAAAGAGAGATGTATCTTTCAACCAATGAAAAAAGGAACAAAAAATGTTAGAGTTATAGAAGACAGGTTTTTTGGTATTTATGTTAACAAAGTGGTTCATATTCAGCAGGAATCTTGCCCAACAGTAGACATTTTTGTTTACCAGGAAGTTCCTGGCATCCACCAGGCAGAGGGCAATTACCCTGGCTAAGCACCCTGCCCTGTGTAGAACAGTCCCCCACAACAAAGGATCACCTAGCTCAAAATATCTACAGGTCCAAGACCAAGAAGCCCTGTGTTAACACCACACCCCCCTACACACATATGCACACACAAACATACACACTTTTAACTCTCAATTTTAATTTTTAAAACAGTAAATATCAATATAATCCATAGAAGCAAATATTCTCTGGGATCTTTTTTTTCAACAGTTCTAATCCCAGCAACAAAAAACCTAAAATGATTTGCTTCTCTATGTTACTAAAAACACACTACAGCTTATGATGCCTGCAGTCGTGACCTAATACTACACTTGGCATAGTGCAAATTAACTGGCACAGTAAGACAGATTTTTAAGAGCTCACCTGTTCTTTATGTGATAATATACTGCTAAGGTCACACTGTGGAAGGAAAAAAAATTGTTAATGATTGAGTTTATCATTTGTTGAAACTGAAGACAAATTTTCAAGAGGAGACCTGGCACCGCCTTGAAGTTCTCCAGTTTCAGCACAGTACCATATGGGCACTTTCCCGTTTTAATTTTTTGGCTTTTAGCAAACATGTGCCGTCGAAACACCTTTCTCTTGTTTATACATTATTGCATATTTCCCTGTCATTTGGGTTTCTACCCCTAAAACCTCACCCCTGGGAAAGTGCTACATATCCACCCACATGCTTAAACTTAAACCACACAAGAGTTTTGTTTTGGCACCGGGGATCGAACTCAGGACCTTGCGCTTGCAAGGCAGGCAGCAGAATCACTGAGCTGAATCCCCAGCCCACAAGAGTTTTCTTTTTTGTTTTTTAAGTGGGAAGGCCATGCATTTGTTTCAGTTAACTTACTTCATTATTTACCTGCCCATCATTTTTTCATTATTTCTCTAAAAGTAAATAATAAAAGTGCTGTATACCAAATAAAAAAATCACTTCTCCAAGACAAGAAAACTTACTAGTAAATGTTAGTGCCCACCAAACTGATGACACATTTGGCAATCCCGAAATAATCAGTGATAATAATGCAGCATATGTCTATACAGTATAATATTCATGGCAAGTATTTCCAAATTAGTTTTAAGTGAAATATTAACAAACACACAACTCTTCAGATAACACATTGCTGTATTTCTAAGTTACACACAGATATGGTATATTAGGGAACACAGGGGTCCTGTGAGGTGTGTTACATGCTTCCACTTGCCCTCACCATCTAAAATGAAGCTTAATATCATCAAGGGGAGGCAAATGTGAATTTTAAAAGTACGGACAGTGCTTTAAAATTTAAACAGTCTCACATTATACGCATCAAGGACGAACATTTCTGTAGTGTTTCAGTTTTATCTCCAAATCGAGTTTAATCACGGACTGACATCACACTGAACCTAACTTTGAAGTTTATCCATAAGCCTGTTACAGCCGGCGAGGGGTCAGCAGCAGGTCTCCTGTATGAGACTCTGTTAAGCCATGGTTCCTGAACTTCTCTGCACATTGGAATCATTAAAACCACCCGGGAGCCCTCCGGAGAGAGAGGGCCCTGGCAGCCAGGAGCCCTGCGCCATCCAACCTGCACCATACCCACCTGTGACCAGCCAGAAGGTGAGGACCCCTCGACACTTGCCACGCCCACAGCGGCAACCCACTCAGCACCTCGGGAGCCTCTGGCCTCCTGGCTGTGCCACACCACAAAGCCACAGGGGACACCAGACCACCATACTGCTAAGTTGACGGGATCATCACCTCCCATCAGGACCTGGACTATCTTCAGGGGAAGGGCAGCTGGAACCTGCAGTAGAACCTTGCAGAGTTCAACCCTGTAGGAGGACAGGGAGCTCAACTTGGGACTTGCAGCCAGAAATCTCCCTGAATCCCACAGGCCTGCGACTGGCTTGCTGAGACTCATTGACTTATATCTGCACACTGCTGCCCACGTGGTCGATTGCGACAGCAGAGACATACCCTCAAGGAGGCCCTTCATTTTCATGTTTATCATTTATTTTCAAAATTATTTTTTTGCTCTTATTTTTAACTTTTTTCCTACTCTTTTCAAATTTTTATTTTTCTCTTCTTTATTTTCTCTTTTCTCTTTCCCTTCTCTCTCTCTCACACTGACTTTCTTGCTGTCCCACATTGTTCTTCAGCTCCCTTTTTGCTCCTGTTCTGGCCCTAATTCGGATTTCTTCTTTATTTTTCTTTTCTTCTCTCGCCTGTGTCCTCTGGCCTCACTGCTAACCTTCCCCTATCCTTCTACCTATCCCTCCCTCCCCAACACCTTCTAACTCCCCATCCTGAAGGGTGAAATTGCTATATTGAACAATTTATTCACTAAAAACATATGTTGGATTGGTCCTCAATTTTGATTTAATTCACGCAGTTAAAGGTGATAGATTAATAACTGCCACAAATTGCCATTTTCTAAATTGTACTTGATGCCATGGTATTGCTGATTGTATCACTTGGGCTAAGGCCTTGTGATTGATCTAAGCAGTTGTCCTTTCTGCTATAATGAAAATGAGACAGCCTCAGAGTCATTAGAGACTCAAAATCTAAAGACCACCTACATCTGGAAGACACCTCTGAGAACCAATCATGTCATAAGGGTTCTAATTACAAGCAACAAAGATACTTACAATAAGCAATTTCGAAGTATCAGCCCAGAAATTAAACCCAGGACAATACCAAAAACAAAAATGAGAAGACATTTAAGCAAAGGCACAAACTCAGGCTTCCACCCCACCAAGGATAAATTCTGGGGGAAACGAGGTGGAAAAGTTTGATGATCAACCATCTGGATACCCTGAACTGATAGTGCGGAAGTAACAAAACAGATGAATGAGGCTTTAGAAAAATTCAGAACAGAAATAATTTCCCAGATAACTACAGAGATGGTGAGCCAAGTGAAAGACATGATTAGAGCCTCTAGAACAGAAACAGATAAAAAAAATAGATGAGCTCAGAAACATGCTGGAAGCCATGAATACCCAGCATAAGAAAGAAATGGAACCATGATCGCCCAGCATAAAAGAAATGGAATCCATGAAACAGATTCAAACAGATATCCAGGAGATCAAAAACTCCACTGAAAGTCTACCCAGCAGATTAAGGGAATGTGAAGATAGAATATCAGATATAGAAGACA